CCTGCTGAGACCACATGAAGTGTAAAAACACACAGATCATCCTAAAAGACCAGATCATAATAAATTTTTGAGGGTTCTAGTACACACCTTAAAACATCATAGTCCAACACTCCTTCCCATCTCACATGTAGAACCTTACTATCTCTCATCTCCTCTTTTATCATCTTACAACAGTATCTCCATCCATACTTCCATGCTCCCTTCCTACCCTTGCAAAATTTTTTTACCTTTTTAGCTTAGTCATTCCTCAGAAATACTTAACATTTCTTAAGGACTGCAAGATATAAAGGATATGTTAAGTTTCCTTAGTTAAAAGATGCACATTAAACCACAAATTTATAAGGTAAGTGTAATTTTTGTTGTCTCCATGTGTCCTTTCTACTTTGTTTTGCTTTTCTATATCAGGAGGCATAGCATGATTTATTTGATTACTCTTGAAAGGATCTAGCTACTATGACCAGGGAGTAATTTATTTTCCTTAAGTATTTAATTAGTCCATAAGTGGAAGGGATATTGTAGGATACAGATTATGTACCATCTCACAGCACTATTTAGACTATGGATATTCATTATCCAAAAATTTGAAAAATGTAAACACAGAACTGTTTAAAGTATCTTTAAAGGCATAAATCAGTATGTGAAAAACTTGCATTGCAGTAAGTATGTATTTATTGTACCTCAGCTAGACTACATTAGATTTCCAACACACATGCAAAATTAATTCCAATTTTCTAAAACCATAACTTTCCACCCCAGGCTTTGTGGGTCCTATCTTCTACATTCAAGATGAAAAGAAAACAGTTAATAACACAGAAGGCCCAAAATGTTGATCCTTCTGAAATTTGCAAGTGAATTGTAGAAGTCTTCTTTGAAAGTAGCAGTACACGTAATGAAATAACACACCTGGATCAGCACCTACCTTCCACCTGAACTAATCTCTCTGTACTACTGATTATTAAACAAAAGTAAAGGAAAAAAAAAAGTAAACAAAAAAACCCAATAAAATCCCACTTACTTTCAGTTTTCCTGCTGGCAGTCATGCTACATTCCAGTTCCTCTAACATGCTGTATTCCACCCTGAAATCACTCTTCCTAATGTAAAGGTATCCATTTTTGTCTTTTTCTGTATTTGCAAGCCTGAAAAAAAAAGGTTCCCACACTAAGCCAGGAATACTTACCAAAGCCCTAACAATTCCCAATGTTAGTATCCAGGTACGGCCGGGTCTTACATTTTATACAAATCCCTGGTTTGTTCCTACAGCTGTTTTCAAGGAAAATCTTTCTGCAGTTGTAAGACTACATACCAAAGTAATCCAAGAACTTGAACTAGAGAAAGAAGTTAACAAGGGAAACACCTTGCTGACAAGCAGAGGTTCACACACTGAAATGGCCTAAAATTTTATCTGTATGCTTGCTATCGGGGAGCCTTATGATAATTTTCTTTGGAAAGTGCAGGGACAGAGACAGGCTGTATTAATGCAGCTGCACACATAGATGGAGCCCCAGCACAGATAAAACACTACACTCTCTAAGCCTTAAACCTAATAGTAGATTCAAATTCAAGTTGATTAGCACTTTAATAACTTGCTTCTACCTTACTTACTGACTATGCTTTATGTATAGTAGAGAGAGCTGTAGGTGACTTCTGCTTTTTTACTAGAGCGAGAAATTCTAAAGCCAACTCAGTGTGCTTTACCTTACTACAAAAAGGCAGTGTACTAGAACTACAGAACAGCAGATGCAAAAGGCTTCAGATACTGCAGTCCTGAACACCTGTGTAGTTTGGTGCTACCATGTTAAGAGACCAGAACAGAAGGACACTGGTGCCACGCAGTACAGAGACATCTGGCAAGATTCCCAACACTAAGCAACACTACCCACAACCCAAAAACTCCTGTGCCACAGTAGCAGCTAGGTTCTTCAGCAGACTATCACTACGTGGTTCAAACCCCTATACAGAGCAGCTTATGATTCACAGTGTAAATGCTCTGCCACCTTTTGGCATTCACAGACCAGACCCAGGTGCCAAGTGTAGCAGAAGCTTTCAGAGCATAACTACAGAAGGACAATGTGCAATAGTTAAATGGCATGACCTGCCTGGAGCTGCTTGGAAACATCTATATTACCCCTCAGTCATTTTTTGAGCCATAACCCAGGATCCAGAATAACCAAGGACAAGTTGATTCAGTCAGACAACATAAAACACTACTCTGCAACTTACGTGTCACTGCTCACTCAGGTTTCACAACTATAAACCTCTCCTTCTGCCAGGTGGCTATGTCAACTCTTCCTCCTAAAGCCCATCTGTGCAAGAAGACACTTCCATGTTGTTCCAGCTGCCAGCATAGCTGTTACAGCACTTACTCAAGATGTGGGGTAACAGATGTAAAAATCACTTCTGTGCCTGAGCTGTCTTGAATCTCCATTTTCCAAAGCAGTGCCCTAGCTATTCTAGATAAAGTGCTTTCAATCTGCTCTGAGGAAGCTGTTGTAATGCTGCTGCAATTCCCCTTTTGTTAGTGTGTCTTATGGGCTTTAGGTCCTTAGAAGGCTAAGCACAGCTGAGCAGTAAAACAGAGAACCCAGTAATGCACTTCCCTTTTTGTGCATCTAGTGCAGCAATAGCTTACTGAAGATGATTCTCCAAAACAGGGCATTTTGGAGCTGGTAGTTCTATCCTCAATAACTGTAACAACCACAATAATTTGCCAGACCTGAAAAGGAATCTCAGCCTAGTTTCATTACCATGAATTCTTACCTTGAACCTTATGTTATCTCCAGAACAGCATGAAAAATACTTACGATGAAGTGTTCAACTTACTGGGCTTTTAGCTTTTCTGCAGTTCTTATGAATTCAACTTTCTTAGCTTGTTCAGCTTTCACCTTCCAGTTCTGACATTGTGGGTCAGCACCTAGAGTACTGGAACAGCTATTGTTCTGTATGTAACAAAATAAAACATAATTAAAAATAATTATTTTTTAAGGCTTATTGCTTATTTTTAAGTAGGCATCACCGTACTGCAGATTTACCAGCATCCCTCCAGTTTTTTAATGATGCAATCAACTTACTTTAAGTCACACAGGCATTTAAAGCAGGGTGACAACTGATGGAAAGCTGAAGACTGTGTACAAAAAAGCTTTCTTCCACAGGAAGATGTAAAGACCGCAGCATCAGCTTGCCTTAACCACACCAAACACTAAACGAAGCATCACAAGAGCCTCACCTCTCAGGGCCCTCAGTCTCTGGCAACTCCTGACAATGCACATGCAGAGCTGCACTTCACAGCTTACCCCCCCCCCCACTTCACCTTGTTC